CCGCTGGTTTCCCCTGGCCCTGTAGCATGCAGATACAGACAAACAACATCCAACCTTCACCTAAATTGTACCCCTATAGTGCCTGCCCAGCTACACTATAGTCAACCAAACAAAACAGTACAATTTCGAGTCGGATAGAACTGAATCTGCGCAATCAAGTAAGCCGAACCACAAAGCTTCCATCTTGGGTTCCTTTGCGAGCTCGTCCTTTCTGCTTGTACTGTTCATAGCGCGTACAATGTTCTGCCGAAGCGCACATTGTGCGAGTACCTGCAAATGCTTCAAGCGAAAATTGCGAAAGCAAACAAACACATGAACCTACCATTCACACGCAAATGCATTCGCACACGCATACTCGTACAAACAGACGGCAGGATGTAGTGCAATGTGAATTTGCACCCAACACTCCGCACCGCCGTTGCCCTTCGGGTTGTTGTCGGACGAATCAGCGACCATGTTGGCGCCGTTTTTCTGGTTCCTCCGCGCGCCGCCATCCTGGTGACGATTCTGGGGGGTCCATCCATCGGGTTTCTTATAGCACAAAAACCAGGGGTGCCATTCCTTCTCACAATACCAACAACTCCCTTTCATTTTGCCACCAGCACCCGACTTGCCCCCACGTCCAGATTTCGCACCGCGACCCCAACCGGTACCTCCTTGTTGGTCGTTGGAGTCGTCGTCTTTCTTTGCACCGCGTCCAGCACCACCGAAGCGACGTCCTTTGCCACGTCGGCTCCCTTGCATCCCGTAGCCGCTGCTGCCGTCGTCTCCACCCCTCAGTTGGCGGCAACGGAAGTCCTCCTCTAGAATCTTCGTCCGCACCCACTCGAGCGTCCACAAGCTCTGGTTCTGCGGCAGGCTCAATCCGCTCGTGAATTGAAGCCACGATTCCGGCAGCAGCGAGAGCATCTTCAGGCACTTGGTCTGCTCCGGGTAGGTGATTCCCGCGATCGCCAGCTTCGCGTAGAGATCACGCATCTTGTCCAGGATGGGTTGCACCGGCTCTCCCTCGCTTAGGCGCAACGCGGACAGCTCCCTCTCCATCATGAGCGTCGCAGCGACGGAGGTAGGGGCGTGCAGCTCCTTCAACACCGTCCACGCATTCGGACCGCACTCAATCTCCGGCAGCAGGTGCATGACGTGGTGACGCTGGTTCAGCTCCAAACTCTGGGACATCAAGTAGTAGCCAGCCGAGGCGCGCTCGTCCCAATCTTCCAAAAGGGCGGGGTCACTCGGTCTAGGCTCCTCCCCAATCATTAGTTTCAGCAAATCGATCTGACGGAAATAAAGTTGCATTTTCCAGGCCCAATCATCATAGCCCTCACCATTGAAATTCTCGACGGTGAAGTTTTTCAGCACCTCCTTGATCAGCGAGCCCTGGCTTGTTCGCGCTCCCCTTGGCGCAGAAACACCAGAATCTTGGCTGCCGCTACGATCTTGGGCTGAAGATTCACCAGCTACCGCCGAGGTGTTGCCCGCCATAGCTACCTATAACGAGGATCACTATAACGCAGCTCTGATACCAGCTTGTTGGTGTAAGGGCCTAATAAACTCAAGCTATTAAGACATTATCAAACTTAAAACCTCTCCCCGGGGTCACCTCCAAGGGTCCTTGGGTGCGTGGTACAAGACCAGCCCCTATCCTCGGGTCCGAGTTTGTAGAGAGAGGGATCAAGAGGGACTTAGTCAAAACAGCAAGAGTATCTTGAACGTCGCGCAGCGTATCGTGCAGACCGTCGATCGGATTAAGCTGAGAATTTCCTATATCGAAGCTCTCTCCAAGAGCTTTAAAATGAACCAAATTGCCTCGAAAAAGATCTGCCATTAAGAAGTTACGGCTCGGACAGCGTTTGCCTAGCGTTGGAGTGCTAGCATACTAGCGTTGACTCGGGTAGCATTCCGCCGTCGCACCGCGTAGAAACGAAATTCCAGGAAGGGAGGAATTCGCTTGAATCAAATTGACTATCTTCAGGTACAACCAGAGAAGGAATAAATAGTTCTAGCTAGCAAGGACCTTGGGAATCAACCTGGGAACAACCAGGGATGATCCCAAATAATTCCAAGCAACAGAACCAACCTGGCTGGACAAAATAGCAGGTGGTAGGTTGGTAAACAACCTCTGGTTCTGTTTTTCCAACCTGGGAAAACAGCAACCAGGTTCAGGTCCTAGAAACAGAACCTGTTTTGTCTTTGCCCAACCAGCCAAATGCTGGTTCCGCTGGTTTCCCCTGGCCTTGTAGCATGCAGATACAGACAAACAACATCCAACCTTCACCTAAATTGTACCCCTATAGTGCCTGCCCTGCTACAATATAGTCAACCAAACAAAACAGTACAATTTCGTGTTGGATAGAACTGAATCTGCGCAATCAAGTAAGCCGAACCGCAAAGCTTCCATCTTGGGTTCCTTTGTGAGCTCGTCCTTTCTGCTTGTACTGTTCGTAGCGCGTACAATGTTGCGCCGAAGCGCACATTGTGCGAGTACCTGCAAATGCTTCAAGCGAAGATTGCGAAAGCAAACAAACACACGAACATACTATTCACACGCAAATGCATTCGCACATGCATACTCGTACAAACAGACGGCAGGATGTCGTGCAATGTGAATTTGCACCCTACAGTTTTGTCTTTGCCCAACCAGCCAAATGCTGGTTCCGCTGGTTTCCCCTGGCCTTGTAGCATGCAGATACAGACAAACAACATCCAACTTTCACCTAATTTGTACCCCTATAGTGCCTGCCCTGCTACACTATAGTCAACCGAACAAAACAGTACAATTTCGAGTTGGATAGAACGGAATCTGCGCAATCAAGTAAGCCGAACCGCAAAACTTCCATCTTGGGTTCCTTTGCGAGCTCGTCCTTTCTGCTTGTACTGTTCGTAGCGCGTACAATGTTATTCCAAAGTGCACATTGTGCGAGTACCTGCAAATGCTTCAAGCGAAAATTGCGAAAGCAAACATACACACGAACATACCATTCACACGCAAATGTATTCGCACACGCATAGTCGTACAAACAGACGGCAGGATGTCGTGCAATGTTAATTTGCACCCAACAGTAGCCTTGTTTCTTGTTGCTTGCTCTACTTGTCCTTGCATCTGTATATATTTGTGAACTCTTTAATCTGGCCTTGTGGCTGTTTGCTTGTGATCGGACTATGTGGTGATCTTGAGATCCATTATGAGCTTCGTTTTGTTGCTTTTCTTTACTGGTCTTGTGACCATTGTTTCCCTTGCTTGTTTTGATGCCCTCACTTTGGCTATAGGGGTGTGTCAAATGTTGTTTATATGTTTGTTAAGATTCTAGCCTACAATGAGGTTCACAGTAGGGGGTACATCATTCTCTCGACTCTTGACTTGTATCCCCTTTCACTTACTACCTCACCGTTCCACAATGGCGTCAAGCGCGTGTCTAATGCACCTTTTGAACTTAGAAAGTGTCCCTGTCGAAGTATGGACCGTCTTAAGGAAGGGGGAGGAGTAGGGTGTGCAGAGGGGAACGGGTACTTGCAAACGTTGGGGAGATGGAGAGGGAAGCTTTTAGTCCTAGAAACTGAAAGGATGACCTTGAATCTGAAAGCACAATATGTACCCTCTACGAAGCACCTCAATCTATCCTACAGACGTATATATACAAACTATATAAATGTATACGTTGACATTCAGCTCTTGGTTGGTCCAGTATTGTGTTAAATTATATTTTCATATATACCCTGCTTGTTGTATGTTCTAGTGTAGCAGCAGTAATTTCCTTTGCTGGTGGTATACCTTGCCTAGACAATGCTATATCATATACCCATCTCTCTTAGTCAATCCTCTTTGGCCAATCTCTCTCCTCTCCACTCATGCTACCCACGCCAGTCACGTTGCTCCTAAGGATGTTCCTGAGTTCCTAAGTTAAGATCATAACATTTTGTAATATAAATGTACATTCATGGAGCCACCGCACATGCTGCTAGGGGAGAGAACGAGGGAGCGAGGCAACAAAGCACAAAAACAAGGCGGTCGCCAAGGAACTGAAAATAAGAGACTCTGAGGGTACATCATGTCTTACTAAATATCCTCATTGGTGGTTGATGTTGCACAACTCGCTGCTTGAATACGCCCTAATGATCTTGTTCTTCCCATTGTACGCCACCGTTGATATGCCTTCCTCTACAACCTTGCTATGGCAAAATCTGATTGGAAAAGGTGGAGCCTCCCATGAGCATTCCTTCTTGGATGACATACAACACTTGCACTTGCGTACTAGGTAACCGAGGCTAAAAGGGAAGATATGGAGTCTATTGCTGCTTGCATGCTCTCCTAACACTCACCTACGTACCATCTTCATACACCACTGGAGCCTGACCACCCCAGGAAAAAAGAATCCCTGTTCCACCAAGCTGTCGGTTTTTACCACTGCCGTCAATGCTACAATGGGTTCAAATGTCATGTTCCAGCGAAGTAATGTCATGTTCCAGTGAAGTAGTTTGTAAGAGGGGCAGGGTAAAAGTGTGCATAAAGAGACAAGTGATGAGGTGTAGCCAGCCAGAGAATTTGCCCCCTTTCTTCCCTCGTTGCTCTGTTCCCTCTCTCTCTTTTCCCTTCCCTCCCTCTATGATCCCCTCCCTCCATCTTTGCTCCCTTCCCTCTTGCTTTACTCCCTTCCTTCCATCTCTTCCTTCCCTCCCTAGCTGTTCATGTGAGGATCAAGGAAATGGTTCAGAAAAAATTGATTGATCACATGGGTACAACCGAGGCTATATGTAGGCTCGATACAAGGCAACGTAACCTGGTCTTACGTGAAGGTTCCGAGGGTCGCGAACCATCCCAAATGGATCCTTCCCGAATCCCCAAATAAAGCTAAGCTAGATAAAGCATAATTATGTAAAGTAAAGCAACCAAAGCCGTCATACCCTCACAATTCCCTTCTCTCCCTCTCTATTCCCTTCTCTCCCTCTCTATTCCTTTCCCACACTCTCTAATCCCTTCCCACACTCCCACACTCTCTCCCTCTCTATCCCTCTCTATGCCGCTCCTCCTCCTCCTCCTCCTCCTCCTCGTCCTCCTCCTCCTCCTCCTCCTCCTCCTCCTCCTCGAACTCCTCCTCATCCTCCTCCTCCTCCTCCTCCGCCTCCTCCTCCTCCTCCTCCTCCTCCTCCTCCCCCTCCTCCTCCTGCTCCTCCTCTTCCACCTCCTCCTCCTCCTCCTCCTCCTCCTCCTCCTCCTCCTCCTCCTCCCCGTCCTGATCCTTCTTCTTCACATCCAACTCCTCTTCCTCCTCAACCATCCTCACATAATCTTCCGCTCCTCCCCCTTCTGGTGGTGGGGGTGTTGGATTAGGGTTGAAAACCACCAGTCCTGGCTGTTGGTGTAAGGGCCTAATAAACTCAAGCTATTAAGACTTTATCAAACTTAAAACCTCTCATCGGGGTCACCTCCAAGGGTCCTTGGGTGCCTGGTACAAGACCAGCCCCTATCCTCGGGTCCGAGTTTGTAGAGAGAGGGATCAAGAGGGACTTAGTCAAAACAGCAAGAGTACCTTGAACGTCGCGCAGCGTATCGTGCAGACCGTTGATCGGATTAAGCTGAGAATTTACTATATCGAAGCTCGCTCCAAGGGCTTTAAAATGAACCAAGTTGCCTCGCGAAAAGTTCTGCCATTACGAAGTTATGGCTCGGACAGCGTTTGCCTAGCGTTGGAGTGCTAGCGTACTAGCGTTGACTCGGGTAGCATTCCGCCGTCGCACCGCGTAGAAACGAAATTCCAGGAAGGGAGGAATTCGCTTGAATCAATTTCACTATATTCAGGTACAAACAGAGAAGGAATAAATAGCTCTAGCTAGAAATGACCTTGGGAATCAACCTGGGAACAACCAGGAATGATCCCAAATAATTCCAAACAACAGAACCAACCTGGCTGGACAAAACAGCAGATGGTAGGTTGGTAAACAACCTCTGGTTCTGTTTTTCCAACCTGGGAAAACAACAACCAGGTTCAGGTCCTAAAAACAGAACCTGTTTTGTCTTTGCCCAACCAGCCAAAAGCTGGTTCCGCTGGTTTCCCCTGGCCCTGTAGCATGCAGATACAGACAAACAATATCCAACCTTCACCTAAATTGTACCCCTATAGTGCCTTGTCAAACATCATACATGTTGTTGTAGTTGTTTAGGCTACAGTGGGTTAGCCTATAGGGGGTACAGATTTCTAGGTTTTCATACTTGTACTCATTTCACTGTTAGTTCATTCATTCTTTGTTCAACATGGTATAGAGCAGATCCTTCCTAGGACCGATTTTTTAGGGCCCACCACTACCTACCTAACTACCTACCTACGCCCTAGGGCGCCTCGGCTTTCAAGCCCCTAGAGGCCCCGTCGGCCCCACGCTCGCTTTTAGAGGCCCCGAATCGGCCCCGCGCTTACCCCTAGAGGCCCGCGTCGGCCCCGCGCTCGTCCTTAACGGCCCCGAATCGGCCCCGCGCTTACCCCTAGAGGCCCGATCGGCCCCACGCTCGTCCCTCACGGCCCCGATAGGCCCCGCGCTTGCCCTTAGAGGCCCACGTCGGCCCCGAGCTCGTCCCTTACGGCCCCGATCGGCCCCGCGCTCGTCCCTCACAGCCCCGATAGGCCCCGCGCTCGCTCTTAGAGGCCCACGTCGGCCCCGCGCTTACCCTTAGAGGCCCACGTCGGCCCCGCGCTCGTCCCTTACGGCCCCGATCGGCCCCGCGCTCGTCCCTCACGGCCCCGATAGGCCCCGCGCTCGCCCTTAGAGGCCCACGTCGGCCCCGCGCTTACCCTTATAGGCCCACGTCGGCCCCGCGCTCGTCCCTTACGGCCCCGATCGGCCCCGCGCTCGTCCCTCACGGCCCCGATAGGCCCCGCGCTCGCCCTTAGCGCCCACGTCGGCCCCGCGCTCGTCCCTTGCGGCCCCACCCACAACGAGCCGCCCGAACTGTTGGGTGCAAATTCACATTGCACGACATCCTGCCGTCTGTTTGTATGAGTATGCGTGTGCGAATGCATTTGGGTGTGAATGGAATGTTCGGTGTGTTTGTTTGCTTTCGCAATTTTCGCTTGAAGCATTTGCAGGTACTCGCGCATTATGCGCTTTGGCACAAAATTGTACGCGCTATGAACAGTACAAGCAGAAAGGACGAGCTCGCAAAGGAACCCAAGATGGAAGCTTTGCGGTTCGGTTGAATTGATTGTGCAGATTCAGTTCTATCCAACTCAAAATTGTACTGTTTTGCTTGGTTGACTATGGTGTAGCAGGGCAGGCACTATAGGGGTACAATTTAGGTGAAGGTTGGATGTTGTTTGTCTGTATCTGCATGCTACAGGGCCAGGGGAAATCAGCGGAACCAGCTTTTGGCCGGTTGGGCAAAGACAAAACAGGTTCTGTTTTTAGGACCTGAACCTGGTTGTTGTTTTCCCAGGTTGGAAAAACAGAACCAGAGGTTGTTTACCAAACTACCACCTGCTGTTTTGTCCAGCCAGGTTGGTTCTGTTGCTTGGAATTATTTGGGATGATCCCTGGTTGTTCCTAGGTTCATTCCCAAGGTCCTTGCTAGCTAGAACTATTTATTCCTTCTCTGTTTGTACCTGGATATAGTCAATTTGATTCAAGCGAATTCCTCCCTTCCTGGAATTTCGTTTCTACGCGGTGCGACAGCGGAATGCTACCCGAGTCAACGCTAGTACGCTAGCACTCCAACGCTAGGCAAACGCTGTCCGAGCCATAACTTCGTAATGGCAGAACTTTTCGCGAGGCAACTTGGTTCATTTTAAAGCTCTTGGAGAGAGCTTCGATATAGAAATTTCTCAGCTTAATCCGATCGACGGTCTGCACGATACGCTGCGCGACGTTCAAGGTACTCTTGCTGTTTTGACTAAGTCCCTCTTGATCCCTCTCTCTACAAACTCGGACCCGAGGATAGGGGCTGGTCTTGTACCAGGCACCCAAGGACCCTTGGAGGTGACCCCGAGGAGAGGTTTTAAGTCTGATAAAGTCTTAATAGCTTGAGTTTATTAGGCCCTTACACCAACACGAACCGAGCAGCCCGAACCGAGCCGAACCGAGCCGCCCAGCCCTAACGGAACCGAGACGCCCGACCCGAGCCGCCCGAACCGAGCCGCGCCGCCCGACCCGAGCCGCCCGAACCGAGCCACGCCGCCCGACCCGAGCCGCGCCGCCTTACCTATACCGAGCCGCGCCGCCCTACCTGTCCCGAGCCGCGCCGCCCTACCTACCCTACTGGTCCTGCTCCTTTTCCTGCTGCTGCTACCATTGGTAGCCCTCCTGTGTTAGCCTTCGATGCTGTGGGCCGCCCAGTGAAGTTCGACACCTGGCTAGATGACCTACACCTCTTCCTACAGCTCAATGCCAAGGAAGACATCCCGCTGTACGCTCACGCCTTAGGCCACGCTACTGCTCCTGCTGCTACTGCTGACACCACAGTGGCAGACTCGTGACGACCATGCTCGCTTCGCTATTCGCAACTCTCTGCCGATAGATGAGCGCGAGCACTTTGGGCTGCACAAGACTGCGCAGGCACTGTACACTGCTGTCGTTGCCCGCTACTCCTCACCGGCCTCTGCCGCTCTAGGCCGTGTCTCTCTTCCCTACCTGTTCCCCGACTTAGCTTCCTTCCACACTGTCGCTGATCTCATTACCCACCTCCGCACTAGTGAGGCTCGCTTCCGCGCCGCTATGCCTGATGAGTTCCTTGCCAAGAACCCACCCCCGCTCTGGCTCACTCTCCACCACCTAGTCACGCGCCTCCCTGACACTCTGCGCTCAGTCAGGGACCACTTCCTAGCTCGCTGCCCCACCGAGCTCACCATTGCTCTCCTCGAGAAGGAACTCCTTGCAGCTGAGGCTAGCATAGTCGCTGTAGGTGCCTCTCGCGGTGACCCCCGTACCCCGTTTTTTGAGGGGTGTTCTCCCTCCCCCCTTCTTCCCTTTGTCGCCTCTGCTGCTGCTGTCGACCTCCTTGGTGCTGAGAAGGTCGGGACACTGCGTCTGCTTCGAGTGGGCGCCGCAGCGGCAAGGGCAAAGGGGGCAAGGGCGGTAGTGGTGACAGTGGGGGTGGCGGTGGTGGGGGAGGTGGTGGTGGCGGGGGGGGTGGCGCGGGTGGGGGAGGTGGCAGCAGTGGGGGGGGTGGCGGCAGCGGCGGGGGAGGTGGCCGGGGCGGAGGAGGTGGTGGGGGTGGCGGTGGACGAGGCAGCGGCAGGGGTTGGGGTGGTCGAGGAGGTGGTAGCGGCGGTGGTGGTCGTGGAGGCACTGGTGGTGGCCAGGGCCAGCAGCACACTCCGTCGCCCCAGGAGGTCCGTGAGTGGTACTCTCAGCACGGGGGGGGGGGGGGGGGGGGTGGCCTTAGCTGCACGTACGTCATTCGCACTGGTGACCGCACTGGCCAGCCGTGTGGGGGACCGCACGCCACACAGCGTTGCTTCGCTCGTCTGAACGACGCTTGGCGTGTTCAGTTCCCTCAGGCCACTGAGCTGCCCCGTTGGATTGATCTCCTGAAGAAGGGGATTGATATTTATGCTCTAGACTTTGATGCTATTCTCACTGCCATGTATGTGATGTCTACTAGTGGAGAGGGTGCTGAGTACCTGAGTGTCCCGCCCGACCCGGGCATTAGGACTCGTGCGTCTGTTGCTCCAGGTACTCGCGTGTCCGCTACCCCAGGTGCTGGTGAGGCTGCTGCTCTAGGTGCGTGTACGTCTGCCCCCCCTAGTACTGTGTCGACTGCAGCACTGCACACCTTCACACTGGACTCAGGTGCCTCTCGCTGTTTCTTTTGTGACCGCACTGCCCTTGAGCCCCTTGCTCGGCCAGTTGCTGTCTCCCTCGCTGACCCCTCTGGGGGTCCGGTCCTTGCGACCTCCTCCACTGTCCTTCCCTGTCCTGCGGTCCCGTCGGGCACACTGTCAGGTCTCCACCTCCCCTCGTTCTCTACGAACTTGGTGGCAGGTTGTGCACTACAGGATGCGGGTGTTCACCAGTTCACCCCTGCCTACGAGCGTGTCACACACTGCACGTGTGCCCGTACAGGCCGCCACTTGGCTACCTTCACCCGGCAGCCGGGGTCGGACCTGTACACACTGACTACTGCCCCCCCTCAGGTCGCTGCGTCTGCGTCTGCGTCCGCGTCAGGTCAGCTGTCCGCCCCCTGCTCGTGTCGCTCTCTAGCGCACGAGACTGTCCTCTGGCACCACCGACTGGGCCACCCGTCTGTGCAGCGCCTTCGTGCCATGCACTCCCGGTACCTTGTCTCTGGTCTTCCCAGGGTCCTCCCTCCCCTCCCACCCTCGCCTGCTCCTCCCTGTCTTCCCTGTGTCGAGGGGCGGCAGCGCGCCGCTCCTCACTCCTCCTCGTTTCCCCCGACGACTGCTCCTTTGCAGACGCTCCACATGGACGTG